GAGCAGGATGCTGAGCACACAGTCTCTCTCTCTCACACACACACACACACACACACACACAGTGTAGTATGAGTCAGCAGGTTCCAGCGATACCTGCTGGGATGAGTCTTATTTTCACACAGGTAATAGAAAGCCAGCTCAGCATCTTGCCTCGAAACGTCTTTCATGTGTCCACCCTTTAACGCAAACACCACCACACTCCTGACTGACTGCGTATAAAACAAGCGCACAAAGGCACACTCTGCAATAAACACTGTTTGGAATTGTGCTGGTGTGTGTGACTGGTTCAGCTGGGGAAATCTGGTTTGACTGGATTTTTGCTTCTGTGTCGAGGTTATCAGGATGAGAGACTCTCTTCATAGGTATCATAACAACTGTGCTCATGCAGCAGTGCAACCTTGCCTGATCACAGAATACTGCATACCGAAAAAGGACAACATTACTGAGCAACACGAGTAGTGTTTGTTGACATTATCTACCCTATCAGTAAACAAGAAGCCCGGACAAGTAGTGACAAACAATGTAGTGACCTTATTACCACAGTGATTAGGGATCATTTAAGAGCTGACTGCACAATCTGAGAAACACATTAATAACAGATAAATATCTATATGCTACTTATCACCAGCAACATTGTAATATCAGTAATGACAGCTAGTTCTTACGGTTCCTCCCTGCTGACAAACATGCACCCCCTGTGACCATTAGCCAATCAAAACAGAGCAAAACAACACAAAGGCTGTGCATCAGACAGGCCACTGACAGACCGCTTACCCTGGATAGTTGCCTAGATTAGCGTTAGCACAAACTTTGCCTTATCCCCATGTGGCGACGGACTGCAGGTATAAGACGCACACAAAGAACATGAGTGAAAACCTGAAAGGACCCAACAGAAAGAGTGTCTCTGCCGGCGTTACGTCTGCGTCTGAGTGGTGCTGCCATCTCTGCAACATTCCTCTCGGTGTTGAAACCTGGCTTTTAGGACATGGCTTGCAAAATCTCTTTCCTGTTCCCTTTAATTTGACCACACAACTGAAAAAGACATATTACATAATTGCTCTTAAGGAGTTCACAGTGGAAACACTTAACTAGGCAACCACTAAATCCACAAACACAGAAACTGCTCATAACTGCCTCACTCTGCTGCTCTGGGGGGGGGGGG